TAATATTTAATAATAATATTAATATAATTTAAAAAATTCTTTATAATAATTATAAATTAATTATATTATAAATATTATAAATTAATTATATTTAAACATTAATTGATAAAATATTATAATTTGTAATATATAAATATATTCTACCATTAAATAAATAGTCTTTGTATATTCTCCATCTTTAATGTGCACATTTGGTATAAAAGTAGTCATTTTTTTAGAATAAGTTTCTTTCTGTTCATAAAATATAAAATATTTTGTTGAAATTTGAATTACTTAACTATACAATACATACAGTATGTAATGTTATGATACAGGAGGAATATCGTAACTATGGAAACATTGCTTTTTTATGAAGAGAAACAAAATTTCATATATTTGATATGAAATACAAAAATCTAACATTATTTATAACATATTTTTTTTTAATAAATAAAATTTTAGAAATATTTGTTGTTTTGAAGACATTTTATTACATTTTACATGTACATTTATACAATTTATATTACAATATCATATTATATAATCGCATTATATTTATTTGTCAAAATTATCCTATAATTATTTCTATGCAATCTTAGTTAGCATAAAATTATATTAATAATTTTTCATTTATATATAATTGAATTTACTTCTTGTACTACAAATAATTACTATTGAATAATATAATAAAAGAATATTTAACATAAACATAAATATACAATTAAAAAGTATTTTCTTGAATTACAAAATATAATGAATTATTTTTATGATTGCAAAAATATGGTTATAAAGTGGCGCTCTCTTAAGGGTGATGAACAATCAAGATAGTAATTGTATACCTTACTTTTAAATGAATTTTCAAAGAAAGAACTCGATGCAGTGCGATTTGATATATCGATGCATAAGTGTACGTATGCGCAATTACATATATGTATAGTAAAAACTAATGGACATTAAGCATCGGTGTTTTGATCGTCGTTTCACCAATAGGTGTTTTGCAGATTCGATAACATATATGTAGTATGTAATCTAAAGACGAACGTACGTATAAGCACTGCAGAGTCTCAATAGCACGCTAGTACCATACGCAGATTGAGTGCGTGTGTGACTTCCCTCATTGGAGAAATGTCGTCGGCACTCGTGGCTGCTAAATAAACGACGAAACATGTCCGGACCGATAGTCAGTCGTGCGCAGACACCCGGCGGTGATGTTCAAATAGGTATAACGGTGGGTTGTGTTGTCTGTAATAGGACTGACAAGTTGTTAAGATGTTCACGGTGCAAGGCCGTCTTTTATTGTACTAAAGAACACCAGAAACGGGACTGGAAACGTCATAAAGAATTTTGTGCGATTCATTCTATGGAATCGATCGTATCAGATACAGTTTCGGCTACTAGTCAAAATTCCATTCTAAAATCTAATAAGAAGGAATCATCTTTAAAGAACTGCCAGATTTCAACTGCACCAGTGGTTTCTAACCTAAGCGAGAAATCAGTGTTAGGAAGAACGCGAGGATCAAACACTGTTCCAGATGTACATAATAACGTGAAACATCTTGAAGGTACATCAAATTAAATCTTGTTTTCGTCAGATTTTTTTTACAAAGCTTTTTAATATTAGAATATTCCTGTAAACATTTAATAATGTATGTTTTATTCTACAAAAAATGGAATGATATTTTATCATTATTATTTTTAGTAATGAATAATTCATTATATACTGTAAATAGCATAAAATAAATATAATTTTCATTTTATCATAATTAAAGATTATATTATATGATTCTATTGTTTACAGGAATCAACAAACAGACAGAAAAAATAAAAGGACAATTAGATCATAAGGAAAGCCAAAATTCCAAAAGAAAATCTAATAACATTAAAACAAAAGGTACTCGTACTAATAGAGTAGATGGATGGACTTCTCCAATAACATATGAAGGAAGTTCTGAAGATACAATCTTAGGTGCCAGAACAGAATCATTGAATCCTGCTTTACAAGATTCAAGAATTCTTGATAATTTACAAGACAATGAATTAGATATGCCTACTCAACATCATAACGGTATGAAGAACTTTCCAGAGGTTCATTTAACTCGTGAAGAAGAACTTCTACCACCTTTTCTCCATAAAAATAAAAATAATCTTGAAAAATTAATAGACGATATAAGCAGAAATGTGATTAGAGACATGGATGAATATGGTATGTGTGTGGTAGATAATTTTCTAGGAACGGAAAAAGGTGGTGCAGTGTTAAAAGAAGTTTTAAATATGTACAGTGCTGGGTTATTTAAGGATGGACAATTGGTTTCTAATAAAGCAGGTGCAAATGACTTAAAGACAATTCGTGGTGATCAAATAACGTGGCTTGATGGTAAAGAAAAACAATGTCAAAATATTGGGATGCTCATATCTCAAGTTGATGCAGTTATTATGAGGGCAAATAAAATGTGTAATAATGGAAAAATGGGAAAGTACACAATCAATGGAAGAACAAAGGTAAGCATATATATTTTTGTTATTTGAAGTATATTTACATATTTTATATAATTGTTTATTTATTATTAATTATTACATATAAAGACATTATATTTATTTAGTTTAATTTATTTTTTATATTTAATTTAATTTTATTAAAGTTTATGTTTATTTCATTTGATTATATATATTGAATATATATTTATAAATTAATAAGATTTATATTAACATCTTATTATTTAATATATTAAATTCTGTTAATATATTATAATAATAAGGGAATTGGACTTAACAAAATTATATACATATATGTATCTTTTTAATATATATATATATATATATATATACACTAAAGATTGTATTAATTTTGTATATTCTTTTTTATATTTTATTTTTATGCATGAAATAAGATATTAATTAATCCCAGAATATTTTTTGAACAAAAGTTTTTTATTTATTTAATTTGATAAATTTATTTAATATTTGACAATTATGCGTAAAATATTAAATCGTCGAACGCATAATTGAATGTTTATTAATTTGAAATAAACTTTGGCAATAGAATTATTTTATGTTGAATAATTCATAAATTAATAAAATATTTATTAGAATTAAATCATTTTCAATTGCAATAGTATGTAAATACGTACCTATATATATTGATGGAATATTTTAGTAATTTAAAATATTTAAATAAATTCTAATAATCTATATATTATAAAAAATGAATTACTATTATAATAAAATTAGCCAATTATTCTTGAATATCGCCAAAAAATATGTATATATGTAAATATCGATAATATTGAAAAATCGATTTCTCGCGTAATATTTATAATCGAGTTATAATCGAGTTATAATCGAATGTTTATAATCGAATATTTATAATCAAATATTTATAATCGAATTTATAGTTGCAAATATGTTAGCTTTTTTGATTTGTTATAAAATTTCAAATGTATAAATAATTGTAAATTATAAATAATATCGATGATATGCATTGTGAAAAAAAAGATTTCTCGTATCTCTCCAAGCATCGGTGTTTAATCTCGTAGGCGGTCAAAAGAGAGAGAGAAGTGATGGTAGGCAGAGAAGGTCAGGATCCCGAAATTGCAACGATCTTTCGGCTCAGGCGCCAAACTAAGAACCAAAACGAGAGTGGTAACCCACGAAGTGCAGTCGGTCACGTACGCCGTATAGCTGGCGCGCTGTTAGTTATCTTTTTTTCCTTGTCTTTCACTGACTCTCCCTTTCGTCTCTTATACCAGAAAGTAGGCAGCATGTAAGTATTCTTCTCGATTACGTATCCCATCTCTCGTAAACAAATTTGTATAAACCACGAATGAGTGAAACAGAGCAATGTGTTAGGAAAACTATTTATTTAGTATCAATGGTCGCAACTGAAAAGTGTAACTATTGAAAAAATTTTATTCATGTTGTATTGTATTTGGTTCAAATATTTGATAATTTGCTAAATAAAGGATACAAACGAGTTATTTGTAAACTTAATCTTACAAAAGAAACAAAACGATAAAATTGGTTTTTTTTTTATGATTATTAGTGATAAAGATTTTAAGGTTATCTTAACCTGTTTTTTATTCTAATAAAATTATGCAACTTAGTGAATTAATCTTAAAGAATAACTCTTAAAGATATTTTTAAAATAAATTTTAATTTAAATTAATTTTAATTTAATTTTAATTTAAATACACTCTTGAATAAATCTTTAAAAATATTACAAATATTGATGATATATATATACGTACATATTGTTTTTTCAAAATATGACAGTGGTTTTCATTATTTTTATTGATCTTTTTTAATATACAAATATATTGAATATTCTAAGTATTATTTATTTAAATTAATTTATCATTATTATATATATTGTAATATTTCATAAAATATCATTTGAAGTGCATACTAGTGAATTACTTTTTAGATTGAAATGTAGTAGAAATTTACATATATATTAAAAGAATTGAAAAAAAAGTGAAGAATGTGATTTTGAAATTATTACAACTTATATAAGATTTATAATCGAGAAAAAGTTTGATCTCATCATAGTTTGATCTCAATTAATTCCCCTGCTAAATTAAACAACATTTTCATTTCTTCGATAAATAAAAGAACAACCGAATTGTAATATATTTTTGAACCAAACCACACAGTTCTGTCACTGCTGCCATTTATAGTTCGCGAAAAGACATTCAGTACGCTTCGAATTCTTTTATTGTCCTGTACCAACATTTACTGTCTAATTAGAACGCTCAATTAACACTATTCACGCAATACCTGTTCTGTTTAAAATTTCTTTTTCATCTTTCTTCTAATTCTAAAAAATATATATTGTTGTTTATTATTGTATTTCTTTAGCAAAATTGAAATTACCAGAAATTATATTAATAAAATAAAATGAAAAAAGAAAAAGATATTTGATAATAAAAAATTTAATTTCTTAAATTATATTTTTACATTATTTCAATGTTATATTCCAACATTTTTCTAAATAAACTACAAAGAGGAAAACTACGATAATAATCAAATATGTTCTTAACACATTCATTTGTGGTGAATTCTGACTCATTGATAATAAATGTACAATATTATATGTTGATTCATGATAAAATAACATTTTTTTGAATATATCGTAGAAGATTATTATTAATATTTTATCTGCAAAATGAGAAAATTTGACATCTTAAGAGAAATTTCGTTAGATAATTATGTGTGGTTAAAATTATGTGATATTATATAACAAAATTTAAAATCGATATGGCTTAAACATCGATTTTGTTTGAACTAAGTTAACTTAAATTAAAATTAAATATATAGAAATAGTTTCTTTTAGACTGTATAAATTTTAAATCAAAACTTTTAAAATAGTACATTTTACAATATTTTGTTTTACTAAATAATATTATCAAATTTATTTTGTAATTGTTTATTTATTATTTGGAATATTATATTATTGAAAATATTTATATATAATATGAACTTATTTTTATTCTTATTACAAAGAATAAAAGTTCTTAGAAAAGGAAGTTTTTAAATTTTATAAAAAATATTATATGAATATCATGTGATAACATATCTTTATATTTATAAAAAATTTTGTAATATCTTTTGCTTAAATTCAGAAATAATATATATTTCAATTAATATTTTAAGAATATTTTAATTTAATTAAAATTATTATTACTTAATAGAATATAATATTTTATGAAATATAAGAGAAATACGATATCTGCAAGTTAAACATAGTCATTATTATTTTTCTTGTGCAAAATATAAATAGAATATTTAATAGAAATTAAATTTTATTTATATTTTCAAGTTATTGACATAACAAGATGATCTAACTGAAAACTAACTAAGACTTAATCACATATTTTTATTCAATGATAATGATTATTTAAAGATATTTAAAATATCCATAAATTATACAATAATTTTTTATAAAATTGAGAAATTTCTCAATTGAAGAATAATATTAAATATTATAGGAATATGTATGAAGAAATATAACAAACTATCTCTTTTTTTTTTAAGATAAATTATACATTTGTATAGTAAATGTTTTGATAATTGTGGTCTATGTGTTCGTGTCAGACCGTTCACTTTCGATTAAATCCTTACATACTGCTAACTGCATCTCGCTCTTTAACCTTCGTGAAGGTGAAAGAATCGACGAGGTACGATATATTCATATACATATGCATTTATGCGTATAGTTAGATGGCTGAGAGCGTGCCAATCGTGTCTGGGGACGATTTTATAGTGTTTCCATGAGGGTATTTACCGGGACTTGTTGACTTTCTGATCGGTTCAATACATCTTTTGTGCGATTTGTAATTAATCATATAATGTTTTATGATATTTTCTTTTATATTTCAAAATTTGATTGTTACATTAATTAAAAATGTTTATTTTAAAGGAATTATATATATAGATATAAATTCAAAAAAGCGAATTTATACATTTTTATATAAATTTTAGTGTAAAAAAAAATGAGAAAATTTTTTGATAAATATACTTATCTTGATGTAAAATGATGTAATAAAGTATCGCTTCCTTACTACACGATTTATTGCTTTCAAACAATAGAATTAGTGAACATTTTATTGCCACTTTTGAAACAAATGATCATTGATCATAGCATAAAAGATTATTATGTTTATAATAGCATTATAATAAGAAAATTTAATACATAAAATTATTAGAAAAATTAAAAAATTTTATACATTGACATATGTGAAAATGCTATAATAGAAAGAGGAAAGAAAATGAAATAAATTCATAGATAAGAATAATTTTCCTCGTTTAATATGCGATATATTTTTCAAATTAAATAGCTTCTACGAAAAATCCGAATAAATTTTACATTTTTTTCAAGAATTGTCAAAGAACTTTTTTTCGAATATTTATATTAAATGCAATAACTTATTTATAAAACAAACCAATATCTAATATACAACTGTATAGTTTCAATCAATGACTCATATTGCAGAAATATTTTTCAGATTCGAACAATTGTAACAAACGCATATGTTTTGCTTTCCGTTCTATGAAACACGTGCAATAACATTAGCACGGTTTTCCCCCGGAAATATCGCATAATTCTCGCTTATTGCATTTAGGTAATCAATGTACTGATGTTTTTTCATTCTCTCTATCATTGCATCGTTTGTCGTTAATTAATTGAATTACGCATAAAAGTCGTTGATAAAATACGATTTTGAAATAATTCTTGGACGTTGTTCAAATGCTAAAAATCCGATTGTGACGCAGTCTCTGTATATTGTGAGTAATGCGAATTCAGAAGAGGATTGGATGTTGCTATGCTTCTTTCACTGAATCGTCATTTATACTGTAAAGAGTTGCTCAATGCTCATAACATATATAAATGGTTGTGAAATTAATTTAAAATATTTAAAAATTATCTTTTATAAATTAATATTTTGTAGATTTTATGTACATAATAATTCGTAGATTGAAATTTGCATATAGATAATGGATAATTAAAGAATTCGAAATCAGCTATAAATATTACAGTGAGTAATGTAAAAAAATATGAAATATCTACGTAAAACAGTTATACAAACTGTTCAACTATCGTATTTATATATGCACATTTCGTTTGTATGTATTTTTACGTGGTTCGAATTTGCACTTGTAATAATATATCAATGCACGATTTAGAAATAATATAACTTTGATTATTTTCAAATAAATAGTTATTAGTATTTGAAATATCAACAGTTGATATTTGTAATTTTAAAAGATAATTTTATTTTTCAATTTTGATTTAGTTGATTTCTATTAATTTTATATATTTCTTAATTTTATAATCAAATGATAATGAAAGATACAATACAATATTTTTAAAAGTATAAAAATATTATATTACAAACTGATTGAGTCTGAGGAAGACTCTTCCAATGACTAATCTACAAGAAATATGAGCTACGTCATTCATAATATGGCTTTGGCAGATTTATGTATTTGGCAGCGATCGATAATCCATTCTTTATAATTCAATTCTATAATTTTTTTCATTCGCGTTTACATACAATTCATGTTTAGAAATTAAATAAAAATATATATATATATTTCCAGTATTTTTATGAAATTATATAAAACATATGTATATAAGATTTCTTAATTAATTTATTTATCACCACTATATTATTATATTAACTCAAATTAAAAATATACTATACTAACTCAAATTAAAAACAAGATAATTTGATAATTAAAAAAAAAAATATTTAAAAATATATTTCTCTATTTTTGATGTTTTGGTTGTTTTGTATTCACTTATAAATATTACGAAAATAATCAAAAATATTTGAATATAATTAATAATTATTGTATATTGAATATTAATAGTTATTAATTGATAGTTGGATAAAAAGCAAAATTAATTTATTAAAAAACAAACATGAAAGAACGAACAAAAAAATATGAATAATGAAATGAAATATGTTAATCATTATTCAAAAGATATAAAAAATTTCAAAAATATTTATAAAATATTTATTTTATCTCAGAATAAATAATAATTCATCAACAAAAAATGATAAAAAATATTTTAAAGCTTAAGAAAAAAACGGATTTTTTTAAATCAACCAAAATTTGTTAACCAATCATACAAAGTTTATCTTCTCAGAATTAAAAAATATTATTTTCTCTCCCTTCAATCTTATATTAAATAAAAGAACATCAATTGCGTATAACCACTCGACTTCCGGCTTAATAGATACGATAATATTCATATAT